GTTTGAAGCCCCCGGGTCTGGGACTGGAACTGCAGTCGACTGTGTGGGAGTCCAGCGACATAGCCATTACACCAACTGCTGGTCCAGACCTGGCATGTTTTTTAAGCCACCAGGTCTGAACTAGAACCACGAAGTCAGCATGTAAGATCCAGTCACCTTAACTACCATGCCACTGGTTGACCCTGTTGTTTTTTAAGAATTACTTTATTTAACTTTATTTATTTATTTTAGTTTGGCCAGAGAGGGACAGAGTGAGAGGGGGCGGTGGGGGGCAGTAAGAAAGCAAGCCATCAGGTCCAGGATTCAAAGTGTGGTCGACCATGTAGGGGTCCAACGCTGTTAACCACCACACCACCTGCCAGCCCCCTGGCCCGGGTTTTTAAACTGGACATTTTTCAGCCCAGCCTCAACGGCACAGGTAGTACCATGAGGCTCTGCAGTGCTGGAAGCCACATACATGTCAGATGTGGGTTTGGAGCCCTTGTTGAACTGAAACACAGCAGGCTTGCAGGACCCGAGACCCTGACCAGCCAGAGGGTGGGAAGGGGACCAGAGTGAGATGAGACCAAGGGGAGCCTGCAAGTCTGTCTTTGCTGTGCTTTCATGTAAGAGTGTTCATAAAAGAAACTTTCGAAAAACTACATTTCTCAAAAATAAATCATTTCAGTTCTTTTTTTCTTTCTTTCTTTCTTTTTTTTTTTTTGAGAGGTTTTTGCTCCAGGGTGCGTGCACTCGCCAGAGGACAGAGAGAGACAGAGAAACAGAAAGCAAGAAATCACCCCCCAGTGGGGATGGCCACACCACAATCCCTTCTCCTCCATTCTCCTCTCGGGATCTTGGGCACGCACGCACATGCACCCGGCGTGCGTTTAAGCCACCGGGTCCAGAACTTGAACCGTGGTCGACTACATGGAGTTCAGCGACACGGCCATTACGCTAACTGCTGGTCCCAGTTCAATTCCTTTTTCGGAAGCCTAGTGGCCTGGTTAAAAGTTCAGCACTGCACAGAGGCTCTGACATTCAATCTGATTCCATTTGTCCTTTCACATTTCCTTGCTTCAAAACTATTGGCAGTAAATGAGATTAAGTTAGTCACAATCCAACCTGGGCACCCCAAATAGCTAAAAAAAGAACTGCCATTCCATTGTCCGATTCAGAGCAGTACCCCAAGAGGGGCCTCAAGGGCATGTTATTATGGTCGTCTCATTTTTTTTTAAGAATTATTTATTTATATTTATTATTTTTTAATTTGACCAGAGAAAGAGAGAGATTAGGGGAGAAAACAAGCTGCCAGGTCCAAGACTCGAACCGTGGTCGGCCGTGTGGGAATCCAGTGCCTTCAACCACCACGCCACCTGCCAGCCCTGGTCGTCTCATCTTATGTCTCCCTAAAATGTTACACTATACACTAAATTTTCCCTTAAAAAAATCCATTGTGCCATTTATATAAAAAATGTACTAGGGCCAGCAGATGGTGTAGCAGTTATGTCGCTGGACTCCCACACGGCTGACTATGGTTCGAGTCCCAGACCTAGTGGCTTGAAAATCACGCCAGGAGCATGTGCGTGCCCAAGACCCCAGGAGAAGAATGGAGAAGGGACTGTAGTGTGGCCACTGCCCAGTCATTTCTCGCCCCCCTCTCAGTCTCTGTCTTTTGCTCTCCGGTGAGTGCATGTGCCGTACGGCAAAAACTTCTTAGAAAATAACCTATCTGTCTGTCTGTCTATCTATCTATCTATCTATCTATCTATCTATCTATATCTGTATCATTTTTTTCAGTTCACACCCCCCTCTGCTTTTTTTTTTCTTTTTTTTGCTTTCTCATCTTCTGCTCCTCTCTCCTTGCAACCTTGCTGAAATGGCTAGTGTGCACAAGTCCCTCACCAGGTGTCACTTTATTGTACCGTGCTCACAGACAACATTTTGCAGTTAGCAGAGGCAGCCAGAATTTCTCAGTCACCTACAATTAATCTGGGTCCCCCTGGCCTAAACATAAGCACCAGCAAACGACAGCCCACGGGCCGAATCTGGCCTGCCTCCTGTTTCTGTACGTCCCACAAAATAAGAATGGTTTTCATACCTCCAAGTAGTTGGAAAAAAAAAAATCAGTAATATTTCATGACATTTGAAAATAAGAGAAAATTTAAATTCAAAGTCTATAATTAAAGTTTAGGAGAACACAACCACACTCACTTACTTAGGGACAATCTACGCAGTTTTCATACTACACAAAAGAGCTGAGTAGCTATTCTTGCAACACTCTTGGCTCAAAAATGCTTTTTTAAAAGTTGTCTGAGGGTGCCTGTGTTCACCAGAGACAGACAGAGAGGACAGAGAGGTAAAGCACTCATGGGTGTGGTCATGCCACAATGCCTTCTCCTCCATTCTCTAGCCTTTCGGGACCTCGGGTACACACACATACCTGGCATGCTTCTATTCTTTTTGAGAGAGATTTTTGCTTGGTGTGTGTGCTTGCCAGAGAGACAGAAAGTGAGAAATCACTCCCTAGGTGAGATGGCCACACCACCATCCCTTCACCTCCGTTCTCCTCTTGGCATTTTGGGCATGCACACACATGTGCCCAGCTTGAGTTTGAAGTCGCCAGGTCTGAGGCTCGAACCATGATCGACTATGTGAGAGTCTAGCGATGTAACCGTTACACCATGTGCTGGTCCCATACCTGGCAAGGTTTTCAAGGTGCTGGAGTTGGGACTAGAACCACACAGTTGGTCAAACAAGTTCACTCCTTCAACCACTACATTAGGGCTGAACCAGGCAAAAGAACTTCTCGGGTTTTTTTTAAAGTGTTTTTTTTTTTTTTTAATTTTGGATTTTTATTTATTTATTTATGTGTTTATTTCAATTTGACCAGAGAAGGACAGAGAGATTGAGAGAGAGAGAGCGAGAGAGAGAGCAGGCCGCCAGGTCCAAGACTTGAACCATGGTCGGCCATGTGAGAATCCAGCATCCCTAACCACCACGCCACTCGCCGGCTCCCAAGAACTTCTCATTTTTTTTTAGAGAGATTTTTGCTACAGAGCACATACACTTGCCAGAGAGACAGAGAGAGAGAGAGAGACAGACAGAAAGCGAGAAATCGTCTCCCAGGAGGGATGGCCATGCCGCAGTTTCTACTCTTCCATTCTCCTCTTGGGATTTTGGGCATGCACACACATGAACACGGCATCAGTTTCAAGCCACTGAGTCCAAGATTTGAACCATGGTTGTCCATGTGGGAGTCCAACAACATAACCATTATGCCATCTGCTGATCTCTGGGAAAGAGAACCTTTAATTCCCACAACAATCTGTAACAAGCCCAACCCTGACTCCTAATCTACCAAATAAGATGTGTGGAATCATAGCATTCTAACATCCAGACAGCTCAGAAAAGTCTGAGAAAAACTTACCATTTTACACCACTTAGCATTAGTTGAAGTTTACTGTAACATATATGAAAGTTTTTTTATCCTATTTTTAAGAATTATTTTATTTTACTTATTATTAGTATTATGTTTTATCTTGTATAGTCATCAGAGAGAGACAGCGAACGAGAAGGAAAGTGAGAAAGCAAGTCACCAGGTCTGGGACTTGAACCAAGGTCGGCCATGTGGAAGTCCAGTGCCTTAACCACCATGCCACCTGCTGGCCCCCAAATAAGACCTTTATGTTCAAGAAGTATAAAATAATTTTAGTGGCTAGATTTTCTTTAAAGAATTATTTGTATTTAAATTTATTTATTTATTTAAATTTGACCAGAGTCAGGACCAGCAGGTGGCGTGGTGGTTGGGGTGCTGGACAGTCCCACATGGTCAACCATGGTGTGAGTCCTGGATCTGGTGGTTTGCTTTCTCACTCTCTCTCTCTGTATCTCTCTCTCTCTGGTCAAATTAAAATCAATGAATGAATAAATAAATAAAATTAAATAATTAATTATAAAAAAAATTGACCAGAGTGACAGAGAGAGAGAGGTAAAGGGGAGAGGGGAGTGAGAAAGCAAGTTGGCGGGTCCAGGACACGAACAGTAGTTGGCCATGTGTGAGTCCAGTGCCCTCGACCACCATGCTACCTACTGGCCGCCCCCCCTTTCCCATTTATTTAAATTATTTATTATTATTATTCAATTTGATCAGAGAGAGTCAGAGAGAGAGAAAGGGAGAGTGAGAAAGCCAGCCATCAGGTCTGGGACCCGAACCAAGGTTGGGCACATTGGAGTCTAGCCTTAATGACTGTGCCATCTGCTGATCCAACCCCTTTCTTTAAAAAAAAAGATTTTTGTGTGGCCAGCAGGTGGCATGGTGGTTAAAGGCGCTGGACTTCCACATGTCAAATTGCAGTTCAAGTCCCGGACCCAGTGGCTTGCTCTGCCTCTTTTTGGTCAAAATTGAAAAATAATAATAGAAAATAAATTATTTTTTTTTTTAAAAAAAAGAGAGATTTTTACTACTGGACATGGGAGCTCTCCAGAGAGACAGAGACAGAGAAACACAAACCAAGAAATCACTCCCCCGTAGAAGGATTGCCATGTTATAATCCCTTCTCCATTCTCCTCTCGGGATTTTGGTCACACACGCACATGTGCTTGGCATGAGTTTTAAGCTGCCGGGTCCGGGACTCAAACCACTGGAACCGTGGCAGACTGTGCGGGAATCCAGCAATGTAACCATTTCGCCATCAGCTGGTGCCCTAAGTGGCTAGATTTTAAAACATACCTGAGGGTGCTTGGACAACGAAAATTCTTCTCCCCACCTTGAGAAGGAAAAGTAAAACATGATTAAGATTTCAACACAAAACAAGGATACAAATAAAGAAACCCCAAGATTTCTAAGCCTTAACATGTTTTTTCCATGAATATCTTTAAGTAAAGCCTTATAGAAGTGACTACAATACTAGAGAGCTAGAGGGGCAATGAAGAGATGAGAGCGACAGGGCTCCGAAGCCGTGCTTGGATTTGCCGTGGTACAGCGGCCACCGAGGCGACGTGTGCAACAGCCGGCCGCTGCCGAGGTCTCGTGCGGCAGGAAACTCGCTCAGCTGTAATGCGCTTACATAGGAACAAGCACTACTTAAGAAGCCTCACCACAGAGTACTGTGCTCAGTACTTTCACTGTACTCACGGCTGTAGGACTGAAGAAATAACACTTCTCACTGGAGTAGCAAAAATCCAAAACACTAGATTGTATAATATGGTCTGAACTTGGTTTGCAGTTTATAATTTACACCATCTATAGAAAACCCAAGAAAAGTACTCTCCTAGAACTTAGGATAAGTCTCCTTTCTCCCTTTGACACTACTGTGGCTGAAGATAACAGTATGATGTAGAAGAAGTAAAATTTAAAAATTCTATTCAGCCACTTATTAAATATCTTTGGACAAGACTATTTCTTTACCAATTAAAATAAAGGAGAGGGGCCAGCAGGTGGCGTAATGGTTACATCACTAGACTCCCACATAGTGGACTGTGGTTCGCGTCCCAGACCCGGTGGCTTAAAACTCATGCCGGGCATGTGTGTATGTGTGTCCCAAATTCCAAGAGGATTACGGAGAAGGACTATGACATGGCTATTCCCCTGGGGGGTGATTTCTTGCTTTCTGTTTCTCTAGTGAGCACACAGGCCCTATAGCAAAAATCTCTCTTAAAAATAAGTAAAAATAAAAGAGAAAGAGATTAACAACAACAAAAAAGATCTCAGTTTACAAAACAAAACTGCTAACATTTAATACTGTTATGCGTTAGATGGTAGTTTGTCCTCGAAGTTTCATATGTTAGACTGTGACACTGGGAGATGGTAAGACAGTGGGCAGTGGTTAGATCGTGGTGAATGCATCGTGGACACAACATTCTCGGGAAGATTGGTGATGTCTGGCAAGGCTCAGTGAGTTCGGTCCTTGTGAGAAGGATTTAGGTCTCATGAAAGCTGGTTGCTGTAAAAGACCCGCAGCCTTCTCTGCACACGCCTGCCATTCTCTGTACTTCTGTCAGCCATGTGGTAGGCCAGCTGCTACCAGGTCTATACCTTTGGCCATTTCAGCTGACAAAATTGAGAGTCAATGAACCCCTATTTCATTATAAATCACTGAGTCACGGGTGTTTGTTAGCAATGACTAAGCCAAATATAAAACGAAAAAGATAAACTACATATAAAAATAACCTGGGACCAGCAGATGGTGTAATAGTTACATTGCTGGACTCTCACATAGTAGCCCTTGGTTCGAGTCCCAAACTCAGAGGCTTAAAGTTCATACTGGGTGCATGTTGTGTGCATGCCCAAGATCCCAGAAGGAGGATGGAGAAGGGACTGCCATCCCTCCTTGGGGGTGATTTCTTGCTTTCTCTCTGTCTCTCTGGTCAGTGCACATGTCCTATAGCAAAAAAAAAAATCTCTCAAAAAAGTAAATAATGAAAATAACCTAAAACAGGGGCCAGCAGGTGGCATAGTGGTTAAGGCACTGGACTCCCATATGGCCAACTGCGGTTTGAGTCCCAGACCCAGAAGCTTGAAACTCACACTGGGCACATGTGTGTGAGTGCCCAAAATCCTGAGAGGAGAAAGGACTGTGGTGTGGCCATCCCCCGGGGGGTGATTTCTCACTTTTTGTCTCTCTGTCTCTCTGGTGAGTGCATGCACCCTAATAGCAAAAATCTCAGGAAAAAAAACAAAACCTAAAACAAACAAAAAAAAACTTGGGAAACAACAAGTTCAATCAAAGTGATCTAACCAATGTTTGCAACTCTGCACTTGATCTTAGCCAAAAGGCCGAGAAGCGATGTGTTTGCAATAATGGAATGAAAAGTATAATTTGTTGATAGAGGGGCTGGCAGGTGGCATGGTGGTTAAGGGCGCTGAATACCCATATTGTCGACTGTGGTTCGAGTCCCGGACCTGACAGTTTGCTTTCTCACTTTCCCTCTTTCTCTCTCTCTCTCTGTCCCTCTCTGGTCAAATTAAAATAAATAAATAAATAAATAAATAAACAAACCTCAATAAAATAACTCTTAAAAATTATGTTAATTTGTTGATAGAGGAAGTAGTCTGGATGGGTCTAGAAGGGAGGGTCTATGAGAAGGACGGGTCTGTTTCCCACCCACTAAGCCGGGCTGTCTGCCGCTATTTAGTAATTATATTAGGCTGTCAATACATTGTGACTTTTCAGACAGCCCAATACATGCTACATTTTTTCTCCCCCCTGAAAAATGAACAAGTGGGAATCAGGCTTGACAACCAGAGCCAACTTAAATCCGACACGTTTCTTGTCCTCCAGAGCTTAGGAGGGCCCTCACTCCCAGATGTTTCACACAGCTCAACCTGCAAAGCCCTACCAAGTCCAGGTCACCCTCTGACTTAACATTTCTGCCTTCTAGCCCACTGAATTCAATTAAGAATATAACATTAACATCTTTTAGATTTTTGCCACAGGGCACAATGTGCTTGTTGGAAAAGAGACAGAGAGGGAAAGTAAAAAATCGCACACCCTCAAGCCCCGCCCCCGCCCGCTCCTGCGACGCCGGGAGGGGGCGCGCGAGGCCGGGCCGGGCGGTTGCAGCGGTTGGGTGGACTCGGCCGGCGCCATGTCAGCCGGGGGCGTTGCGGCGCTGCTGTGCTGGCTGAGCTGCTGTATCTCGGCATTGTGGAGGTATTACTGTTACAGCCCAAACTATCTCATTCTTTCTACAAGAAGTACTCAGGACCATTCAGTGGCTGGAGAGGACAGAGACAGAAGAAAGGAGAAAAAAGCAATCCCTTCTTCTCTATCTCCCCATTGTGTTGGGCTTCTGGGAATGCACATGCATGCTCCTGGCATGTTTTTCAAACTACAAGATTCGGGGTTTGAACCACAAGGTTGGCCATGTGTGATTTGGGTCCCTCATCCACCAGTCTACAGGGTCAGCCTGACAAATAATTAGTATTTTTAAATAAAGTAATTAATATTACCTAAACACACACACACACACACACACACACACACACACACACCCTCTCCCCAGGAGCAGGGGGATGGCCATGCCCCAATCCCTTCTCCACTCTCCTCTAGGGAATCTGAGCATGCATGCACACATGCCCAGCATATGTTTTAAGCCACCAGATCCAGGACTCTAACCATGGAGTCAGCCACATAGGATCTAGGGTCTTAACCACCATGCCAGTGGGTAAGCCCTAACTATAACATCTTATTATTTTTTTAGAGGTTTTCGCTATAGGGCGTGTGCGCTCGCCAGATAGACAGAGACAGAGAGACAGAAAGTGAGAAATCACCCCCCGAGGGGATGGCCACGCTGCAGTCCCTTCTCCTCCATTCTCCTCTTGGGATCTTGGGCATGCATGCACACGCGCCCAGCGTGAGTTTTAAGCCACCGGGTCCGGGACGCGAACCGTGGTGGACTACACGGGAGTCCAGCGACATAGCCATTATGCTAACTGCTGGTCCCAACATCTTTTTTTTTTTTTTTAAGGAATAATTTTATTTAACTTTATTTATTTCCTTATTTTAATTTGACCAGAGAGGGAGAGAGAGAGAGAGACTGAGAAAGCAAACTGCCAGGTCCAGGAGTTGAACTGTAGTTGGTCATGTGGGAGTCTAGCATCCTTAACCACCACACCACTTGCTGGTCCCCCCTCCCTTTTTTTATTTGGAGAGTTTTTTGCTATAGGACACGTATGCTCGCCAGAAAGACAGAGAGACAGAAAGCGAGAAATCACCCCTCAGGGGGAATGACCACACCACAATCCCTTCTCCTCCGTTCTCCTCTCCGGATCCTGGGCATGCATGCACACGCATCCGGAGTAAGTTTAAGCCACTGGGTCTGGGACTTGAACCGTGGTTGACTACATGGGAGTTCAGCGACATAGCCATTACACCAACTGCTGGTCTGGCCCCATCTTTTAAGACTTACTACTTAAAAGACTTTTAAAACTTACCCAATTGACCGTAATTTGAAATTTTTCTGATCAATATTAAGCACTTTCACTTCCTAAGGAAGAAAAACAGATTTTTTTTTTTTAACTAAAATGTTCATAATAGATCATAATACCAAAACATGTCTAGGATGGTACTTTTCTAGAAAATAACACCATACAACTTATCTGAAGCAAAGAAAATTTATATGTTAACTAAATTAAAACCTAAATATATTTCAAGAAAATAAGGATTTTTCTTACATATTCAAGGGAGGTATTCTTGAAAAATGTACAAGCTAAAATTATGAGGCAGAAGATTTCTCTGTAAGTATACAGTAGAGGAGGAGGCAGACATAGGATTTCAATCACTCCCAGCCCGTTTTATAAAATACGGTAGTCACTTGATGAGTGACTTGGTTGGTAGAATAAAATGTGAGAGGACTTTAAGAAGTTGGTGAAACAGGGAACCAGCAGTTAGCGTAATGGCTATGTCGCTGGACTCCCACGTAGTCAACCGCGGTTCGCGTCCCGGACCCGGTGGCTTAAAACTCACGCCGGGCATGTGTGCGTGTGTGCCCAAGATCCCGAGAGGAGAATGGAGGAGAAGGGATTGTGGCGTGACCATCCCCCCTGGGGGGTGATTTCTCGCTTTCTGTCTCTCTGTCTCTGTCTGTCTATCTGGCAAGTGCACGCACCCTATAGCGAAAAAAATCTCTCAAAAAAAAAAAAATAGTAGAAGTTGGTGAAACAGAGAAATTAAAGTATTAGTTTACTTTGGCACCAAAAACTTGAAACCTTTAGTTTCTCATAATACACATTTTCCATACTTTCTGAAACCCCTTGTTAGCAGTGCGCTGGTAAGGGAGCGAATACAGGAGCCACGGAGGCAGGAGCGCCGTATGTTAGGTCGCAATGGTGCTGCACAACGCTCCCTTCTGGGGTTTGACAATGGCACGCATTCTCCATTTGTCTTTTCCTTTTTTCATGTTAAGGAAAACTAAAAGCAGCAATTTTGTAACTTAGGCCAATGTGACAGCAATGCTAAATTTCAAATGAACAAAAGAAACATAAGCTCAGACTAAATTTAGCTCAATCTTGGGAGACACAAAAGCGGATGAAGACTAGGTGTTCTTGCAGTACTGATCAGAGGTCAGACACGGAATGCATGTACATAGGCACACTCGGCTGAACCCAGAGGAGACTGGTCACTGTCATTTCTGCGAATCAGAATCATCAGATATATCTGTGTGGTTTGGTTTGGTTTGGTTTTTACTGGAAGAGAGAAAGCAAGCATGTAGGAGGGATGAAGGCAGGAAGAGAGAGGGGGAGATAGGTGTTTCTGACAAGGTCTCAGCGTGTGGCGATCTTCCGGCTCCAGCCTCCCAACTAGCTAGGGACACAGGTTCGCGTCACCACACCCAGCCTGTTCAGGTCTAGGCCGGGAACCAAACCCAGTCTGCTCACAGTCTCCGCCCTGCATGGTGGCACCTCCCGCTTGCAACTTTGCATGGCTGGGCTCACATGCTGTCTTTTAAATCCCTTGTTCTGTTTCAAAATATGAACTGAGAACCCATTTGCTCAGTTAAAAAAAGAAAAGAAAAGAAAGAAAACTCTTGCTTACCCGGGGTATGAAGAATTCATCAGCACTGAACTTGTAAAGCCACTCGTTCAAAAAGTGAAACAGAAGAGACTGTAAGTCATCTCCTAAACAGGACCAAAAGAGCCACGACAGTACAATGTTTAATCATTCTGGTCTCTGCGAAATCTGTGCGACTTCAAAGTGCAATGAACTTCTTAGGCTAGTTGAAAGAACAAGCTTATAATCAGTCTTACTCTTTAAAAAAAAAAAAATTATTCATTTATTTATTTTAATTTGACCAGAGAGAGATACACACAGAAAGAGAGAGAGAGAGGGAAAGTGAGAAAGCAAGTCACCAGGCCCAGGACTCAAATCACATTCAGCCACGTGGGAATGTCCAGCGCCCTGGCTACCATGCCCCCACTGATTCCAAATCAGTCCTACTCTTACCGTGAACCTACACTCAGATTATATATAATACCGCATGTCTGTCTGACAATTGCTTCCCGGTTAATAAATCAGTTGTCGGGACCAGCAGATAGCACAGTGGTTACGTCGCTGGACTCCCAGATGGCTGACTATGGTTCGAGTCCTGGACCCAGCAGCTTGAAACTCATGCCAGGGGTGTGTGTGTGTGTGTGTGTGCCCAAAATCCCAAGAGGAGAAGACCAACCCCCCAGGGGGTGATTTCTTGCTTTCTGTCTCTCTGCCTTTGTCTCTCCAGCGAGTGTACATGCCCTATAGCAATAATCTCTCTTTAAAAAAATAAACAAATATATTACCTTGGGTTTCTACTTCTACTGTTTGGAGGGGTTCCACAGTCCCAGTATCTGTCATGTAGCCAAACATGGCCATCACACATTGCTCAAACGCTTCCTCCAGGGAATCTCCCCACGCGTGTAACCTAAAGAAACAGGTGATGCTCTCTGTAAAATAATCCACTCAACAGACAAAACTTGACCATGAGGCCAAAATAAAATCAGTATGACAAATACAAATCTAAAGGTCTCAGTCATTTAATGGCAATAAAATGGAGGGGTTTTTTTTCTTTTTTTTTGAGAGGTTTTTGCTACAGGGCACTTGCGCTTGCCAGAAAGATAGAAAGGGACAGAGAAAAAGAAAGCAAGAAATCACCCCCAGGGGGGATGGCCACGCTGCAATCCTTTCTCCTCCATTCTCTCAGGATCTTGGGCACGCACGCACATGAGCCCGGCCTGAGTTTAAGTCACCAGGTCCTGGACTCGAACTGTGGTCAACTACGTGGAAGTCCAGCGATGTAGCCATTACGCCATCTGCTGGTCCCAAAACGGAGGACTTTTAAGCCATTATTCTCATGTTCTGGAGGGCTCAAAATGAGAGGAGAATAACTGAGAGTAGGATGATCAAGAAGAAAACATTCAGCCTATCTATTTAAAGAGATAATTTCAAAGGGACGAACTCCAGCGATACTCACTGGACATCTGCTGTATGGTCCAAATCTGAGGGAGAGAGAGAAAGACAGATGTCACTCAACTTGACTCTCAAATCACAAGAAAAGGACTCTCATTCATTATTACTAAGTGCATTACCTGAGAAGAACAAGAAAATGCAGGGTAACCCCTACCTTCTGCTATCTACTTACTCAACACATCTAACTGCTTTCTAGGGTGTTCTCTTCGTTTATTTTTTTAAGCCAAGGTTTATATTTAAATGAATAACGGTTTCTAGAAGGCAACAGGGCCAGGGTCTTCTAGGTGATCTAAAAGATGTCTCTCAACAGACAAATGCATATTAGTATATTAAAGTCTATTAGTTTCTCAACGAATGCCAGTTCCTGCTATTAGAACCTTTCCTCGACAGACCAATATATTTTTTCAATTATTTATTTATTTGAAGAGTTTTTTTGTTTGTTTGTTTTTTGCTATAGGGCACATGCACTTGCCAGAAAGACTGAGAGACAGAGAGACAGAAAGCAAGAAATCCCCTCCCAGGGGGGATGGCCACACCACAATCCCTTCTCCTCCATTCTCCTCAGGATCTTGGACACGCATACACACGCGCCCGGTGTGTTTAAGCCACCAGGTCCAGGACTCGTACTGTGGTCGACTACATGGGAGTCCAGCGACATAGCCATTATGTCAACTGCTGGTCCCCCAATATTGTTTTTAAAAATAATTATTTAATTTTATTTTATTATCTTTTTAAGAATTTTTTATTTAAATTTATTATTATTATCTTTTTTTTGGAGAGATCTTTGCTATAGGGCGCGTGCGCTCACCAGACAGACAGAGACAGAGAGACAGAAAGCGAGAAAATGTGGTAGGCAGTTAGTTAGCCGTGAGCGGGCAGCCCTAAGAGAAAAGCGAAAGGCTCATCTAGCTCCAGGTGCCAGGAGGACAAGGGAATTTGCCATCTTCCTTCCTTGAGGCCTGAGGGAAGCACACAGGGATGATTCCTAATTTTTTCTCTTATCGAAAAGACCTAAGCAAGCGTTTTGGTCAATGCCCCAATTCCTATTAGGGCAGTGGACTAATTGGGCAGTCTAATTGGGGTAACCTGGCTTGCATTGGGCACCATGCGCAATTAGGTGATTAAATTCCTCATTCTTTACCTGTGAGGAAGGTGCGCAGGTGCAGGAAAAGGGCGTATGGATTCTAACTTAAAGGACGAACGTAGGCAGTGTAAGGGGCCTCCCACTAATGAATATTCATAACCTCTAGTAATAAAAATAAGGGTTAACTAGTACCAAGCGCAGCTGCCACTTGGCAATCTGCCTACCCAACAACCTTTTTGGGTGTACTTTCTTTCCGTTCCTTTCTTTCTTTCTATTAAACCTTTTCTACCTACTTTATTCATGGTTGCGGTTTTATTTTGCGCCTAGGGACAGATCTCTAATTTTAGTGACCTGGACCCAAAGAACCAAGGACTTCACAATGCAGCTCAACACTCTCCCATCCATCCGTTAACAAAATCACCCCCCAGGGGATGCCACACTGCCATCCCTTCTTCATTCTCCTCTCGGGATCTTGGGCACACACGCACACGCGCCTGGCATGAGTTTAAGCCACTGGGTCCGGGACTCGAACCGCGGTTGACTACATGGGAGTCCAGCGACATAGCCATTACACTAACTGCTGGTCCCTATTATTATTATTTTTAAATTTGACCAGCAAGAGAGAGGGAGAGGGAAAGTGAGAAAGCAAGCCACTAGGTCCAGGACTTGAATCGAGGTCACCCATGTGGGGAGTCCAGCATCTTAACCACCGTGCCACTGCTGGTCCCTGATTATTATCTTCCAACTTGTACAGGGCATGCGCACTTGCCAGATAGAGACAGAGAAAGAAAGAGAGAGGGAGAATGTGAGAAAGCAAGCCACAAGGTCTGGGACTTGAACCACAGTCAGCCATGTGGAAGTCCAGTGCCTTAACCACCATGCCACTTGCTGGCCCCCAAAAGAATATCTTTTTAAAATACTATATGGGACCAGCAGATGGCATAATGGTTACATCGCTGGACTCACATGTAGTTGACTGCAGTTTGAGTCCCAGACCCACTGGCTTAAAACTCATGCTGAGCACCTGTGCGTGCATGCCAGCGAACTCAAGAGGCAAATGGAGGGTTGGGATTGTGACATGGCCATCTCCCTAGAGGGTGATTTCTCACTTTCTGTGTGTCTCTGTCTCTCTGGTGAACGCACACAGCCTACACCAAAAAAACTCTAAAAAAACATATGTGTGTGTATATATATATATATATATATTCAAAATTCTAGGAACTACCTCACCATCTAAAATATAAATTTTTTTTTGGAGCAAGTTTTTGCTGTAGGATATGTGCACTCGCCAGACAGACAGAGAGAGACAGAAAGCGAGAAATCACCCCCCAGGGGGGATGGCCACGTCGCAATCCCTTCTCCATTTTCCTCTTGGGATCTTGGGCACGCATGCACACGCAGCCGGTGTGAGTTTAAGCAACTGGGTCCGAGACTCAAAACGCAGTCTACTACATGTGAGTTCAGTGACACCCATTATGCTAACTGCTGGTTCCTAAAATATAAAATTTTGATTTCTCTGTCTTACCTTCTCTTGAGGAGCTAGTCTATATTAAATACTAAATTTAGATAAAAGTTTTGGTTTTAATTTTGCCAGAGGGCAAATTCCTTGCTAAAGCAAGATAGGGAAGGAGGGGGAGAAAGCATCCCTCAATGGGACATGGTTATCCCACAATTCCTTCTTCACTTCTCCTTCCCTTTAGTGTTTTGGGCATGCATAGCACACACGTGTCCAGAGTTTTTCTTTTCTTTTTTTTTGTAGAGATTTTCGCTATAGGGCGCGTGCACTCGCCAGACAGACAAAGACATAGAGACAGAAAGCGAGAAATCCCCCCCAGAGGGCATGGTCACGCTGCAGTCCCTTCTCCTCCATTCTCCTCTCGGGATCTTGGGCACGCACGCACACGTGCCCGGCGTGAGTTTTAAGCGACCGCATCCGGGATGCGAACCACGGTCAACTACGTGGGAGTCCAGTGACATAGCCACTACGCTAACTGCTGGTTCCCGTGTCCAGAGTTTTCCAAGCCATTGTTGAGGATCTGAGCTGCAGCTGAGCCTGTGGGACCCAGCTCCTTTTACTACTAGACTAAGGGGAGAGACCCTAGATAACATAGTTTTAGAAATTAAACTCCATAGCATATATTATGAGCTTTTTCCTGTTAGTCTCATAGAAACTCCAGAAAGTAACAACTACAGCTTTCTCTCATTGGATCTGTTATCTCGTTGTTTTCAGGCTCCTTTTCACCCCATCCTGATTCCCATCCATCCTCCCACTTAGGATCAGAGAACGCTGAGCAGAAGCAATTGTGAGAACATGTGACCCGATCATTCACTTAGAGGAAGCCTGAAATCCAGAGATGCTGTGACTTGTTCAGGACAGCACTGATGAGAAGCAGAGTTGGGTCTAGAACTGAAGTTTCTTTTTCTTTTTAATTATTATTTATTTTATCATTATTATTATTACTATTTTTAACTTGCTACAGGCCATGTGCACTCACCAGAGAGACTGACAGAGAGAAGGAAAGTGAGAAAGAAAGCTACCAGGTCCACGACTCGAACTGCAGATCACCACGTGGGAGCCCAGAGCCTTAACCACCATGCTACCTGCTGGCCCCTAGGATTGAAGTTTTCGTACTCTGAGTTTAGTGCACTTTGCACCAAAACACATCATCTTCTGATAGCACACTCACACTGAAGGTTCAAATTCATCTCTAACTCATAGATATCACGGAGGAATAAGTTTTCGGCACTTTGAAGCTCAATGAGCAGCAGAGGGGACCAGGAGGCAGCACAGTGGTCACGTGACACTGTGAGGCTAGTCCACAGGGAAGGTTTCGGGTTTGTGTCCAGAGCCCTCTGTGAACACGGTGGGTGTGTGCATGCCCACCATCCGGGGCTGGCTGAAGGATCATGGCATAAAAACCCTACTGGGGTATCTGTCTCTCTCTGTGTCTGTCTCATGGAAAAGATAAATAAAATAAACTTAGGAGAGAAAAAAAGACCAGCAGCGATGATTAAAAAAAAAAAAAGTCCAGGTATTGACCCTAAGGAAATGAAAGAAGACATGTAAAAATGCTCACAGCAATTTATTCCCCCAAATTAAAAAATCTAATTTTCATCAATCAGAGAGCAGATAGGTATAATCAATGAAATTTTACTCAGCGATAAAAAAGCACGAAATACTGATATGTGTACTTTTTTTATGGCCAGAGGCCATGTGCATTTGTTAGAGAGAGAACCCTCCAAAGGGGCATGGTCACACTGCAGCCAATTTTCCTGTCTGGGATCCGGCAGGCAGGCTCCAGCACTGAGCTGCCCCGTGCTGGGGGCCAGGACTCTAACTGCGGCAGCCTGTGGGATCTGGCTTTGGATACAGTGTTTAACTGGCATGCTGTGGGTTGGCCCTGATAAGCCTTAGCATCAATGTCAGAACATTCTGCTGTGTGAGAAGTCCAGAACTCTCAGCACCAGACCATCCAAACCCGTGTACTGGCTTCTAGCAGCATGGGATGACCCCAGCCCCACTGCTGAGAAAGCTCAACAGAAGAATCTGCTCTTTGTCCTAGCTGACACCTGACACAGGCCCTGACCTCTCTCTTAGAACATGTACTAAATAGGACTTAGAACTTTACATTTCTCTCTCTTACAACTCAGGAGTCTCTTTCTCAACGATGAGGGCCATTCCTTCGCAGGGAACCATCGGGAAGGCCAGGGCCTCTGTCTTCATCTGTGGAAGGAGAGATGTCAGCTTTGGCGACCACCAGCTAACACAGCCGGTCTCACCACACCAACACTGACCAACCTGTGTACATTTTTAATTTTTGGAGAGGTTTTTGCTATAGGGCACGTGTGCTCACCAGACAGAGAGAGACAGAGAGACAGAAAGCGAGAAATCACCCCCCAGGGGGGATGGCCACGCTGCAATCCCTTCTCCTCCATTCTCCTCTC